ATCCCGGTGCCAATGCCGGTTCCGATCCCGATGCCAATCCTAGTTCCAATCCCGATTCTGATCCCGGTGCCATTCCGTGTCTCTGCAGAACCTGAAGAAGAGCTGGCACCCGCAGACGCTGCGCAATGTGGAGAAGGTGTGGAAGGCGGAGCAGAAGCATGAGGCCGAGAGGAAGAAGATCGAGGAGCTGCAGCGGGAGCTGCAGGAGGAGCGGGCGCGGGAGGAGATGCAGCGCTACGCCGAGGACATGGGCACCGTGCGGTGAGAGGGGGTGGCACGGGGACAGCACACGGGTGGCATCGGATGGCATGGGGATGGCATGGGGGATGACATTGGGGTGGCACGGGGACAGCACAGGGGTGGCGTGGGGATGACATTGGGATGGCATGGGGGATGACATTGGGATGGCACAGGGGTGACATGGCAGTGGTGTGGGAGACAGCATGGAGATGGCATAGGGATGTCATGGTAATAGCATGGGGATGGCAGAGGGATGGCATGGGGGACACCATGGGAATAGCATGGGGATGGCACAGGGTGGCATAGGGATAGCATGGGGATAGTATGGAGCTGGCATGGGGGATGGCATGGGGACAGCAAAGAGCACAGGGAATGCCACGGGGACAGCACAGGGGACAGGACAGAGCACAGGGAATGCCACGGGGACAGCACAGGGGACAGGACAGAGAACACGGGGACAGCACAGGGGACAGGACAGAGAACACGGGGACAGCACAGGGGACAGCACAGTGAGCACAGGGACAGCACAGGGGACAGCACAGAGCACAGGGAATGCCATGGGGACAGGACAGAGAACACGGGGACAGCACAGGGGACAGCACAGAGAGCGCAGGGACAGCACAGGGGACAGCCAAGCCTGCTCTGGGGTGGGGTGGGGTGGTGCTGCCCGTGTCCCTGGCACAGCCATGGGGACAGTGGCTCTGCTGCTCAAGGAATGGGCTGGGCTGGAAGGGACATCAAAGGCCAGGCAGTGCCACCCCTGCCATGGCAGGGACACCTCCCACTCTCCCTGGTGTCCTGTCCAGCCTGGCTTTGGACACTGCCAGGGATCCAGGGGCAGCCACAGCTGCTCTGGGATTTCTATTCCATCCTCTCCCCTCCTTCCCAGGGAGGAATTCCTTCCCAAAATCCCATCCAGCCCTGCCCTCTGTCAATTCAAACCCATTCCCTGTGTCCTGTCCCTCTGTCCCTTGTCCCAAATCCCTGTCCAGCTCTCCTGGAGTCCCTGTCAGGTACTGAAATCCCCCAACCAGGTCACCCCAAAGCTTTCCCAGACTGAACAATCCCAACCCTCCCCATCCTTTGGGTTTCCAACACCAAACCACCCCCACTCACCCCACCTTGAACCTTCCAGCTTATCCTGGAAGCACCAGAATAAATCCAAATTATTCTTTTATTTTAATTTTTTTGGCCCAGGAAGCGTGAGGAGAAGCTGGAGTGGATGTACCAGGGCCCCGGGGGAATGGTGAACAGGGATGAATACCTGCTGGGCCGCCCTGTGGACAAATTCATCCTGGACAAGGTTGGGGACAAGGACACTGCTGGCTCTGGGGACACGGGGCTGCTGCCTGGATCCATCTTTGCCAGGGCTGGGGCCAGCTCTGTGCTGGACATGGCCACCAAGATCCGAGAGGACCCGCTCTTCATGATCAGGTGAGGGGGAAACAGAGGGCGCCCTTCACACCTCTGCTCAGGTCACTGGTGTCTGCAGGACATCTGAACATATCTGAGGATGTTTGGAGTATGTTTGGAGTATATTTAAAGTATATTTGGAGTATATTTAAAGTATATTTATATTTAAAGCATATTAAAAGTACGTTTAAAGTATATTTGGAGTATATTTAAAGTATATTTGGAGTATATTTAAAGTATATTTGTATTTAAAGCATATTAAAAGTACATTTAAATTTATTTGGAGTATATTTGAAGTATATTTCTATTTAAAGCATATTAAAAGTACATTTAAATTTATTTGAAGTATATTTAAAGTATATTTATAGTATATTAAAATATATTTAAAGTATATAGTATACATTTAAAGCATATTTAAAGCATATTTTAAGTATATTTTAAGTATATTTTAAGTATATTAAAAAGATATTTAAAGCATATTTAAAGCATATTTAAAGCATATTTTAAGTATATTTTAAGTATATTAAAATATATTTAAATTATATGTATAGTATATTTATATTTAAAGCATATTAAAATATATATTTAAAGTATATTCATAGTATATTTATATTTGAGGTATATTTGAAGTATATTTGAAGTATATTTGAGGTATATTTGAAGTATATTTGAAGTATATTTATAGTATATTTATATTTAAAGCATATTTAAAGTACATTTAAATTTATTTAAAGTATATTTTAAGTATGTTTTAAGTATATTAAAAATATATTTAAAGTATATTCATAGTATATTTATATTTAAAGCATATTTAAAGTATATTTGAAGTCTATTATAAATATATTTAAAGTAGATAGTATATTTATATTTTAAGCATATTTTAAGCATATTTGAAGTATATTTGAAGTATATTAAAAATATATTTAAAGTATATAGTATATTTATATTTGAAGTATATTTAAAGTCTATTAAAAGTATATTAAAATATATTTAAAGCATATTTAAGTATGTTTCAATTGGCAATCACAACCCTCACATTGTTTGGTGCAGGGGCTGGGAAATTCAGATTAAACCAAGGCACTTGGTTTGAAAGGCTGCTGAGAAAGGCAGGAGCCTGTCCTGAAATGGAAAATATAAATCTCTTCTCTATAAATTTTGATTTATATTCTCTATAATTTTTGATTTAAAATGATAATTTTGAAATTAAGGAGCTTTCAGGCAGAGATGGGAATAGGGATAACAGATCTTTACTGGGAAAAATTAAAATAGGTAACAGTGAAATGCAACAACTCCAGAGTTATTTATTCCATGAAAAATGGGTGGGGCTGGGGCACAGAGATTTAAAAAAGTGATTTTTACCTGCCTTGCATTGGTAAAATTTAAATTAATTTATCTATAAATTAGCATTGATGTACTTAGGAATTGAAATTTCTGTGTCTATGAATTGAAGTGAATGTATTTGTACATTTACATTTCTGTATCATGAATTTAAAGGTTTAGATATCAACACATTTAAATTTCCTTATCTATAAGTTTAAACTTAAAGATAAATTAAATCCATTTAATTCTTTAAATTAAATAAATATATAAATTTGAATTCCTATATCTCTAAACTGATATTTATATGTCTATACATTTAAATCTCTTTATCTATGAATTTAAACTTAAAGATAAATTAAATGGATTTAATTATTTAAATTAAATATATATATATATATATATATATAAATTTGAATTCTTATATATCTAAACTGACATTTATATGTCTACACATTTAAATTTCTTCATCTATAATTGAAAATTTATATCTATAATTGAAAATTTATATCTATAATTAAAAATTTTGTTGGGCTGGGCCACAGCACAGAGGGGGAAGGGCTTTAAAACATCCCAAAGTGGTTTTTTTACCTGCCTTGCATTGGTGAAATGTGATCAAAACTCTGATTTTTATTTTTTTTTTATTCCTGCTTTAGGAAGAGGGAGGAGGAAAAGAAAAGAGAAGTTTTGAACAACCCAGTGAAAATGAAGAAAATCAAAGCCTTGGTAGGTGTGAGGAGCAAAAAAAATCAGAATTTTTAAATGTATGAATTTAAATTTATAAATTTCAGAAATTGGAAGACGTTTAGAAATGTCTTCACATTTTTCTATTTCTTGTAAAGATTTTTTTTTTTGGCTCAGGTTTTGTGCCAGGAGGGCAAAAAAATCAGAATTTCCATAGTTCAGGATGAGGAGCTGAGCTGTTTATTCCTTAAACTCCTCAATTTTGAGAGTTCAATGAAATTTTCTGCTTTTAAATTTCTTATTTTTTTATAAATACCTACATTTTTATGAAGTTTATTTCTCTTGTAAACAATGCAAAGACATTTTTTACACCTTGAAATGGAAAAATTCTGCCAATCTCTTGACTTTTATAGATGTGTTATTTTCTAAATGTATGATTTAAATTGTAATTTTATATTCTAAAAATCGTATAATAGATGTAAGGTGTAATATATAATAATACAATATAATATAATATGTGGTATAATATGATATAATGCAATGTAATTTGATGTAATATAATAATATATTACTATATTAATATATTAATATATTAATATAATATAATAATATATAATAATATAATATAATATATTAATGTAATATAATAATATATAATATATCGTAACATATAAATATAATATAATCATAGAATATAATATATTATAATAATATTTAATATAATCTAATATAGAATATAATATAATCATAGAATATAATGTAATATTATAATAATATATACTATAATATTATAATAAAATAGAATATAATAATAATATAATATAGTAATATAATATAAAATAAAAGAATATATAAATAATATAGTACTACAATATAATGTAATATAATGTAATATAATATAATAATATTTTAATATTATAATATAATACAATAACATAATATATAATATTATAAAATATTTTATGATATATTATATAGCATAATTATATATAATATAATAATAGAATATTATATAATATTGTATTATAATATAGTATAAGGTATGATATGATATAATATAATATATGATGTCATATAATGTAATATATAATTTGATATTACATAATAAAATATAATGTAACAATATGCTATAATGTAATGTAATAGAAATAATATCTTGTACTATAACATCATATATTATATAATATATTTCTATTTTCATATTTAAATTATCATTCTTTTAAAATCTAATTTAAATTACCATTTTTACAAACGCCC